AATCTTGCTTTTTTATTAGTTTTTGCATTATTGTATTTTAAAAAGTGTCCACAATATTCTGGGAGGCCTCTGTATATATGGAATTTCATTTGTTTTGAATGAATTTTTTCAAAATCTTGATTTCAAAACCTTAATCTGAAAACCTTAATCTGAGATTACAAAATATATATATTAAATAGTATTAATTAATAATAATATAGTAATTTTTGTATTCAAAAACATGTATAAAAGGACCTGCTCTCTCAAATTGAAATAAATAGTTTTAGTTGACTTGACGATTAGTCACAGATTGTGAAGTTGTACCTAAAAAACTAAATTCTGGATACTTATGACGACCACTGTACTTTGTACACGATAGTCTTACAATTTATTACCATATAATGCTGCCTAAAGTACTCTCTTTTGTAGAAAATTTAAACTTTAACCACAATGATATTAATTAGATAATTGAAACTTTGAAGAAATTACATCGTGAATCTTGTTTTATTCATTTTGCAGGAAAAGAATTGGTTTTACTAAAAAGAATTGGAACAAAATTATTAAATTTTCCACAAGGGGAGGGATGGGAGTACGTCTTTTGTTCTTAGTAATGATCGATTCAAACTCAGTTGACTTAAAGAATGAGAGCAAATATAGCTCATGAAATGATGATGTCAAAAGATATAAAAGACTCTTATGTATATTGAAAATTTTCCATCGGTATTTGTTCTGCAGTCCGGCTGATTTACACGATTGTGATATGACTCTCGACCAATGATACTTGACGATGACGAAACCTTCTGACTAGAGTGTCCAGTTTACTGCATTTCTGCGCAGTAATTTACTTCAAATGATTCTGCAAATTCTGCAAACTGAAAAACGTGCAATGTCATTATGATCAAATTTTTTAATTATTAGTTATATATTGTTTAGAATTTCGCGTAATCATTTTATAATGCAAGTTATAAAATTCACTTAATTATTATCATTATGTAAATAAACCATATGGATTCTGCAAATTCTGCAAATGCAGTAAACTGGGCACTCTACTTCTGACCAATAAAATACTAGTTGATGCCTGACGATGAACGAATTAATAATACATGTACATGTATTGATTTTCACGAAACCTTTCGCCATGGCCACTTTGGAAACGTAAGTGGCGAATGACAAATCGTTTGACAAATGACAATTTTGGCAAATTAAACAATAAAAACAATAGGTCAAGTCAAGCTTTATCAATTTATCGGTTTATTTTTTGCATAATTCTTACCAGAGGTATATATTTAAAATTATACACTTTTCTCAAGTTTTCATAATGCTGGTCAAAATTCAGCATAATTTTGATCGTCTATGACCTTCAGCCAATCAAACACATGTATTAGATTGCTATGACGTAGAATTCTTTTAAATTCGGAATAAGATTTGTACATGTGATTTTAGCTATTATTTTTATTGGTCAGAAGGTTCGTCACAGGTTTCGCCAATCGTCAAGGGTTCTTCCGACGAATGACGTGACGAAACCTTTCATTATGAAAATAGTCTCGTCAGGTATCATTACTCTCGACCAAAACAGAGTCTGCATTTTATGGTAATAATATTTTGCGTTACATTTTTTTTTAATCATTGCTTATGATCCTCAGGCATGTTTTACAACCACACGTTATTAATTGTAGTTTTTGACCCAAATCGGATTTGTTATTGTGGCTGTACTTAATTATCTTTGTTTTCGTTGCTCTTGTTGATTTAGTGAGCCAGTTTTTTTGGATATGTATTTTCGTTTTTTGTCATTATTTACTTGTGGCTGTAGCTGTTCACTTTTGATCATTTAATCACAATAAAAGAAGTTTTATGGATTTTTGTGTTTCACAAGCTAATTTTTTTACAGACGTAATTTAAAGTTACTTTCGCTCTTCGTTCTTTGTATTATCGTTATTATTAATTTCAAAAGCAGATTTGTTATTGTTCAGAAATATTGTGGCTGTATTTGATGATCCGTTTTTTGGTTAACGAGATGATCATTTTTATAAATGTACGCCATTGTTATTTCCAAGGTGTGCTGGTATTAACTGATTCAGATATTGTGGCTGTATTTTTATGTTTGATACCAACAAAGTTTCGATTCAATTATATTTATCGGGTTAGTTTGGACAAAGTTATAATTCTGGTAATCAATTTTGAGTAGTAGAACAAGATTTTTGAGAAGTGGCAGTATGTCGTGAATTGTCATAAATTGGATTTAAATAAGTTTCTGGTTTCTGTTGCACTTTAGAGCGTTGGCATTCTACTTTTAATATCGCGTATCGAGAATGAAAACATTTCATCGAGCACTTTTTATTCTCGTTGTGTTGCTTAATCTATACGGAATAAATGCACACTTAACGTTAAATTTATATAAAAATTATTCATTAGAAAAAAATGAGAGTTTATTAAATACAGCTTTACTATCAGATGACTTTTTAGTGCTCACAGCCTCCAATACACCAAATAATTCAAATAGTTCTTGCTTCAAGTCTGTTCTTTTACTGATAAAAGTACAAAATGAAAATAAATTCAGACATGAATTATCATATCTTAAAATTCCTCAATACAATTTTTGTCCACAACTCAACATGAGCATCAATATGTTTAAATACAACAAAACATACCTCATTTTAGCTTATTTTGAAGCAAATGATACAAAATATCCTGAGACAGTCGATACTAGTTACTTTGATTCAAAAGGCATTTTAATCACTTCGGATGGAGAAATTAAAGGGTGATTTTAATTTATTATACGATTACTGGCTTTGGTAACAACTGATTAAATAAAATCTTTTAGGAAGCCATTTGATTTGTTCCGTTCATTACCGAACAAAAATTTTCAAATAAGACAATTAAATACTATTCGAGGTCCATTATTTATAATACAAGATAAGAATATAATACGGTGTATACAATATAGCGACCTGTAAGTGATATTAAAAATGCGATACATGTGAATGAATATATTATAACCTATTTTTTCGCATTATGTTTTCAAAAGTGGTGGGAATGGCGATAATATAGAACCTCAACGACATAGTTTCCTAAATGTATCAGGTTTAAATATATCTTCTTTTAAATATTTTACTACCTTGGAAGGTTCTCTCGCCATAGTTTATACAGGAAATATTACAAGTTCGTCAACCAGTTTTAGTGAACATATTATACATCAAGTATCAATGGAAGTGGCTTTTTTGAGACCGGGCAGCGAAAATTTTACACAACCATTTATGCTCTATCAGACATTTTTTGATATGCAAATACGTTCATGTTATGAGTACAATTCAGTTAGAGCTGGCTATTCTTGTTTATTCAGTATAGCTTTCCGTGATACATCCACAGTTAAACTCGAAAAAAGAAAGACGATTGGACGTAACAGTTCTTTAGGTCCTGATGGTGATGGTAGTGAGGATGTTAGTGGTAGCAGTTCTGATGAATTCTTTCAGGTCACATTTCTCTCAACAGGAGCAAATATCAACATATTCAATGTAAAAAACATTTTTAATAACACGAATACAACCATATATTATAATGCTATTCAGCCGCTTTTTTATGGAGGAACTTCTATCGATTATCATTCTGAAAGTGAGAGAAACACGAATAATACAGTCCTTGATGAACATGGCAATGTAAACACAACGAAAGTGTTTAATACGACGGCTACCAATACTATATTAATGGAATATAATAAAACAATTAATAGAATATGGCGATATAGTAAAAATGGTAATACTGTATCGATGTATTTTACTGATTATCCTAAATTTATAGAAGGTAACTACGTATAATAATATTGTAAGTGATTGTAAATATATTTACGAAATTAATTAATCTTAATTAAATTAGATGCAGGGTATATGAATTTACGAATAAATGGCACATTTCCAAAAATCAACGATAAAATCAAGAAAAATCAATTATACTTTAGTATTGACTTTAATACAGCTGTTGCACTGTCTATCGGAAATATTTCAATATACAAATTCGACAGTATGACTAATGAATATAATTTTAGGCAATATATTCCAGCAACACAGCAAATCTGTAGACCGGAAAATAATAATAAAAAAATAATATGTTATGTTCTCTCAAGTACATTTAATGAATATAATAGTTATTATATTCAAATTTCCGATGATTTTGTAAAAGATAGTGAATTTGGTGAGCCAATGCCTGGAATTTCTGAACGGTTATGGAATTTTCAAGTTGCTAAGTATAAATCAATATATAGGTTAAAATTAATTTGAATTAATGTCAAATTATTTTTTTTACTCAGAGAATAACAAGGAATTATCGAAATTCTCAGGTATAGTTATTCATATTATTGCTTTTTTTTTAGTAAATATTAAACATTAAAAATTAAATTCATACTTAAGGGTCTACAAGGGGCTTACTTTGTCTGAGCGAAGATGGCAAAAAATATTGGGGAAAAAATGACCATAATAAATTTTATGACGAACTGAGAAAGCAATTAGCAGAGATTATACCAGTTGATGAAGAAAGATTAAAACCCAGTTATCGATCCCAAACAAACTCTGAATGTAAAACTGTTCTGCTATCATATGAAATACTTGCTAATCCTTCCTCAGAAAAAACAGTTGAAGACATAAGAAGCGATTTGGATACTCTTATTAAAAATAAAACATATACTGCAATCTCTCAGAAAAATCTGAGTAATTATCTCGATTCTTCTTTTGGATTTAGTATTTCACGTAAGTTTTTTTCAATTTATATAAAAAATGTTTAATCGATCAAATAAAAGAGATTTTCTTCATTGTATGTATACTTTGACCGGTGTACTTGGCGGGCTTTTAGTTCTCACCGGAATATTCATCATTGCAAGATCTAAAGATAAAAAGAAAGAGGTAATGGTATCTTAAAACTGGTTTCACTATTACGTATTAATATAATTAACTTGATTTAATTACTTTAGGGAAAGAATTTTGCGATATTTCAATTATCATCAATAATACTGGATCTAATTTTAGATATCTTATTCGTTACAAAAAATGGACATAATGTTGAATATTTATTTTTACCAAGGTAAAGTAAAATATATTGATTTTTATTTAAAATGAACTAAGCTTACCAAATTTTTTATTACACAGTATTTTAATATTAATAACAGCAGCGACCATAAATTTTTGTTTTGCAACTTATATCTTTTCTTCTGAACTTCAAAATAAAGGTTTGAATATATGCTTTCGTTAATCTGAAGGACCTTTTTCATTTTCTAATAATTTACATCAAACAGATAATTATGATTGGTATATTCAATTCGGCAAAGTGGGAGCTTTTTTAAATTTTTTGGCTATTGCTGATATCGAAGCACTTGAAGTTCTTTCGTCAAGATTTGCAGGTTTAGACGTGTTAAGTGTAAAATTCTCAGATAAGTCTAAAAACTTGATACATTGGTGTAGTTTGATTGACCTTTTTATTGAAGATATTCCTCAATTGATTATTCAGGTAAGGTTAGCATTTATATTATTGCAGGAAATGATCGGGTTTTTTAGTAATTTGTTTATTATTTTGCATATGTAGATAATATATAATTCACAAGTTATCATAAGGGATATCGTACCATCCATTACGCTTTTTTCATCTTCTATTGTTTTAACTGTTAAAGTTATTCAAAAATTACAACTAGCATTTAGTGATTCAAAAAGTCAAATTAGCGATTCAAAAAGTCAAAATTATGTCAAAGTCTAATTTATTAATCTTATTTAACTTTTTTTCCAATAAGGTCTGTGATACTGCCAATAAACCCTACCCTTAGAATATAATATAATCATAACTGATCATAATGACATATAAATGATGAAACAAGCACTTAATACATGTACATGTATGTAAATATTCCTCGTTTGAAGTAATAAATATTTACAATTCAAAACTTTTATTAATACATTAATTAAATTAATATACTGAAAAACTACAGTACTCTCGATAACCAGCTATGCGCTAAGACCAGATTTATTTATTGTGATTTTAAATCACTCCATAGCGATTTGTAAAGTTCATAATTTGGCATAAATTCTTTTTAATGCCGATACGTATCGGTATCGGTATGTCTATCTTTTTTTATCGTCAATAATATTTTTGCCTTTTTGCTAACACAATTACTCCTTGACGAATAATTCTATCTTGAAATTACGATAAGGAGCATTTTTACTACATAAAGCAAAATACAGTTTAGTTGCAATGCACATTGATTGTTCGACCCTTATGCAAAAACTACGTATAACGATTTTAGCGTATAATACAGAATCGGTATCGTTATATTTGTTCATTCATTACTCTTTACACAATTTACGTCACGTATTTAAAGATAACACTTTAAAAATCCTCTCTCTGAAGAATTTATTAAAAATTAAATTCATAACTAATATAATGTATACATTACCAGATGAGATATTGATAAAAATCTTCGCTATCCTACATCGCTCGCTTTAACTTCCAGAAAATGGCTAGAATGGGCTAGAATCGCAGCCGATCCACAAGCAAAAGCATTATGGTTAACGTTAATGTCACATTATGGCATTCTTTCATGCAATTCGACTGGGACCTACATTTATAAATGTTACCGTAAACCAGACTATAATTTCTTATAACATTATCCCATCTGTAATGCAACATCAATGAATTGTATTTACGTACGTATTGTTGTGACTTTTAATTAGGAAGTGAATAAATATGATAACGAAAACGACAATGATAAATACAATTCATTGATAATTATAGCGATAGATATTGCGCGCCATATAATGATGAGAAAAATTTCCAAACTTCAATGAAGCATCACAATAATAATGTTAGTTTAACATTATTGTGGATTGTAGTAATTAAATACAAGCTTGCGCGACTGCTCGTTTAAGGCACTTTTTTGAAATCAATTTGTTTGCAATGAGCAAATCAAATTGGTTGGAAGAACTTCTATCAATACGTGCCTTCAAACAAATCAATCATGATGAACTCGTCGATGAAAAAGTGCATAGAAAAGGCAGTATAAAAACTTAACGACTGCCTATTGGAAATCACAACATGAGTTAGTTCCCTGTAAGTGGTTAAAGAAATGTGATCAAGACTATGAAGAAACATTTATAAAGTCTATTGTGAAGGCGGTAATATGACTAAAATTTTGATGAATTATTTTTCGATTTATATTAACCCAGAAATACATACAGGTTAAAATTAATCAAAGTTTGTACTATTGTCGTTACGTAATTCGTTTTTTGGCTATTGCTGAAGGTATAGTATTAAAATTATCTGCTTTAAACAAGAAAAACATAAAATTGAAAATTAAAAATTAGACCCCAAAAATTCTCAATACGTATCGCTATTATTAAATGTTATTATTAAATAATGTTATTAAATAGGATGCGCCGGCGCAGAGTCGACTCGCTGAGTCAGCCGACCTGACTTTTTTCGCTGCGGCACGTTAATCTTTCAAACGATTTCTCAATTTGGGGGAACACTAAAGCAAGGTAGTGGATTAAGGATTAAGTCAACTCGGGTAATCTTATAATTATCCGAATTGACTTAAAACACATGACCTATATTTGTAACACATTCAATGATTGGCTGAATTCTGCATAATATCATCGCTATCAAAACAAAAACAAACAAATGTCTTGTTTTGTAGTTGGCCCAGTAAATTCTAGCTGGGACCCTCACCAACAAAAAGAAGCGCCGAATACTCACTAACAACACCACCGAGGTGAATCAAATTGGAAACTGATCGCGACCTGGAGAAATTCGCAACTTTAGCGAAACGAAAATGGCGGCCAAACTCCTAACATCTTACGCGACCAGTTTCGTACCGAGTTTCTTGAGTGTGAGTATTTGACGTTTCTTTTTATTTATTGGTGGACGTCTAGTTTCTTCATTTCGTTGGTGGCGTTGCAAATTTCGACTGGTTTCCAGTTTGGTCTCGCACCGGTCTATACGGTATTGTTGAACGCCCATATCTCTGGAACATCTTTGCGATCTATAGCCCTATAATTAAGGTGAATATTTTGCGTTTAGATCAACAAAATTGGGACAATATTGGTGGAGTTATTGGTACTCAAAGTCGGCGCATGAAAAATCGCAAAATGCTGGACGGTCCGTGAGGCAACAATATCTCGCCGATCTGTGTTTAGAATTTTGCGAACTCGGTTCGTTTGATTCATCTAATCAAGACGAACATACTTTGTATTCGGACCACAAAAATTGGTTGGATATTGTTGGCATTTTTCCGAGATCGCTGGTGTTGGTTAGGGTTAGTAAGAGTTCCTTGGGTGTCCAGTTTCTTTGTGCTAGTTTCGTCGCGACCGGATCCAGTGGGTTCTTTGGCGAGTATTTGATGATATTTCAGATGAAATGGGAGTCTCTGGGTGGAAGTGGTCTTGAAAACAATGTCAACAATCAAATAAAATTTTTAATTGTTCAGTTTATTTTTGCTGTCAACCAGAAAGACTGTAAAATTGCTTGCCAACTTTATGATTAGTACTTTTAGTGCGGGTTTATTCAAAGAATGTCCAAGCTCATGCCAACACTAGTATTTTTATTGACTATTATTATATGAAACTATCTTGCTTTGTCTATTATTTAGCACGTGAAGTTTTTCACATGATCTGGATCCGGATCGAATCCAAAGTTACATGATATTACTCGGAGTTGGCTAAAGCCTGGTGAACACGTGTAATTCATCCAATAAAAGTGTATAAATTTTTGTCAATTACCAATAAGAATGCACAAATTTTTGATCAACCCAACAAAATAAATCTGATACAAGATATAAAAAATGTGAGAAATATGAATATTACAAGAAATCTGATGCTTAAACTGTCTTGGAATACTAATTAAAAATGTTAGGAAGATGATTTTATATATAAGCTTGTCCTCTAATTCTAACCCTTACTCTTACTTTAATCTTATTGATTGCATGCAGAAATTTAGTCACATATTTATCAGGCTTTAGTCAACTTCATAATTTGATATATAATCTATATATATTTAATATAATACTGTGATAATATAAAAGAACTTTTATGTAATTGGCTGATCTTAATCAATTACTCAGATACAATTCAGATACATTTTAAAGTACTTTACAGAAATATAACTAGAACATTATATTATTATTAGTAGAAAATAAAATAACTATTATTTTTAGTTACAATATACTCGACATAAAATAATTTCAAAATAATTCAAAACTAAAAGTACTTTAAATATATCACAATATGTCAAAGACAGTCAAATTAATGAAAAAAAATAACTAAAAATATTATTATTAAAGATCAAGTTAATAATATTTTATCAGATTATATTCAAATAGATAATGCAATTTGTTTAAATTATTATAATAGAATTGTGATAAATAATTCATGTGAATTTTAGTATTATGTTCAAGCTAATACAAATTTGATGAAACTGAAAAAACTGATAAAACTAAAAATACTAATATTATTTTATCTTTTTTTCAAGCAATAAAAATAATAACTAATATCTTATTTATTCATGAAAATAAAGAAAAAAATCAACATTATACTCATTTGATAAATTTTGTACAGTTATAAAAAAAAGGATGTAAAATTAAAATTCTTTTTTAATGAGTTATTGTTACAATAGTAACATAAAAATTGCAAATTCAAAAATAATTGAAAAATATGAAAATTCCAAAAATATTCATATAACGATAAAATCCTCTAGTATTATTTTACTTTTTATTATTTCACTATTTATTATTTCACTTTTTATTTTTCACTTTTATTTTTCACTTTTTAATTATTTCACTTTTATTTTTTACTTTTACATATATTATTTCACTTTTATTATTTTACTTTTCATTTTTTCACTTTTATTATTTTACTTTTTCGATTTTTCACTTTATTTTTTACTTTTATATATATATTTTCACTTTAGTTATTTTACTTTTTAATTTTTCACTTTTTATTTTTCACTTTTTTGAAATTTTACTTTTCACTTTTCACTTTTATAATTAATTAATTCACTTTTATATATTTTTATAATTATTTATTTCACTTTTTGTAATTTTGAAAAATATATAAATAGAGATACTGTCTGAGTCTTAACTCAACATGTTGTAACTGAAAATAAAAACCTCTCTTAACAAAAATTTTCCTCCAAATACCTCTCACCTCTCATATTTTCTTTATACACTTCAAATCTTGTGTATAAATGATTTTATATTGTATTGAATCTATCAAATCACTGATAGCTTTATATTGTATTGCGCTGAGCAAATTGCTGTTATTAACTTTGGGCTTTATATCATATTGTGTCAAACAAATTGCTGTTATTAACTTTGGGCTTTATATCATATTGTGTCAAACAAATTGCTGTTATTGAATTATTGAGCTTTATATCATATTGTGCTAAACAAATTATTGTATTGGAATTATTGAAATTGAATTTATAAGTATTTTTACTTTTTATTATTTTGAATTTTTAATTATTAATGAATATTTCTCATTCATGAGAAGAACAAAGTGAAAGAGTCTTTGTTATTGTTATTACTAATTATATTATCTTAGTTCTAAAAAACTTTACGCAAGTATAGAATTATTTTTTAAATTCCCTTTATTATTCTTTATATTCTTTCTCCTCTTTGACCTTTACTCTCTCACAACTTTCTCATATTATTATCTCTTTTTAAGTAAATACAATTTCTATAAAAATTGGTATAGATCTTAGATATTCCT